TTCTAATGTATAATGTACATCAACTTTCTACCTTACACAGATATAAAACCATTCCATGATGTAGAGTACTGTACCTCACAAATCTATCTAATGCAAGTTTTCTAATGTATAATGTACATCAACTTTCTACCTTACACAGATATAAAACCATTCCATGATGTAGAGTACTGTACCTCACAAATCTATCTAATGCAAGTTTTCTAATGTATAATGTACATCAACTTTCTACCTTACACAGATATAAAACCATTCCATGATGTAGAGTACTGTACCTCACAAATCTATTTAATGCAAGTTTTCTAATGTACATTGACTTTCTACCTTACTTTGGTGAAAAACTATTCAGTGATGTAGAATACTCTACTCCCATAACTTAAGTTTCCCACTGTACACATTGTATATAGACTTACATAGATGTAAAACAGTTCTATAATGAAATAAATGTTGTCTAGTTAAACATTACATCAAAGTTCTATGATCTTGTGTTTTAAGTCAGCTTGAAGTTAAAGATGTAATGAGGTAGAGAGTGATCTAACCACCAGTCATCATAGGATTTCATTTTAATTCTAAAATGTTTATGTAACAGACTTTACTGATCATTTTAGCTATAAATAAAATACTTAAAGTGTCAAGAAACTGGAGAAAAAAGACAAAATGAGGAAGAAACATTAATCACCCTTTATTTAGTTAGGAAGAAGTTCAATTTCCTAAAGTGTGTTACATCAAACCCCCATGTCTCAATAACCCTAAATTACTCTTTTTTTCCCATCACCAATAAATGTGATTAGATTAAATTAAATTAGATTAAATGTGTCTTAGATTAGAACAGAAATACTGAACATTTTTTATTTGGAAATGCCTGAATAAACAAAAAAAGTCATATGTGATATCAACTGTGGTTAATGGCTCTTAAAAAAATTGTATCCTAATAGTTATACTGCTAAGTTATGCTCCATAAAAATATTTAGAAACAAAATTTCAGAATATTTCAAGAGACAATTACTGAGATTCTAGTGACAAATATTACTAGCCTGAACATAATCTTTTGTTCATTAAGTTCTCTCACCTAAATGAATCACTTCAAGTAGTTATAAACACACATTCTTATTTTCATAATTTTGTTTATTACCATCAAGTTATTATGAGAACTAAGCTATTGATATCAAATATAATAAAATTCCACTAGGAACTATTTTATATTAAACATCAGTCAACACCAGATTTTGATGCCTAAACTTTACGTGAAACAGTAACAAGTTAGGTTATGATTCTAAAATTACACAGTTAATATAAAGATAAAACAAATTAATAGAATTTGATTGAATTGACTATTATAAAAACTTCAAAACAAAGGAAGCTAATCTTCTGAAGGTAGAATTTTTCTCGCCTGAAAATGTATTTCCGTTAGATACTTGCATCTTAAACATAGATTAGATATCTTCCGCGCATGTACCAAAGAGACTTGCATGCCATTTGAGGCAGCTCCCACCTAATTTCACATGATTTTAAGTGAATTGCATCACTGCATGATGACATTAACATGTGACAAAAGCCCTTCACCAGTAGGAGGGCAACACACACCTCCATGTACACTATCTCCCTTATGCACTTCATATGTGAATCTGCAAGTAAGAAAATGAGCACCAGAAGTGGTGATGATGGGTAGGTAAATGTTAATTTCCATGATGATAATTCACCTCAACACACAGATTAGCTAGAATCCCATATTGATATGATGAAGGGACCAGTGCAAAATTTACCTAGACCAGTACTCTTCAGAAAGTGTCTGAATTATGACCATGGGTGTGACACCTAATACCAGGGGCTCCATAGGGTACACCCATGGGAGACCACATCTCTTCTCATCCAGGGTATACTCTTCACCCATATAGTAAAAGGGAGAAGCCAAATGTGTGTCGCATGGATGGGCAAAATTGGCACACAAGTCATCTGACAGCCAATATGCGTAGTGTTTGGGGCTCATTCAGACCATACCTTGTGTGTTCACCTCAACTTTACCATTAGACTTGGTGGCTGTGGGAGAAGGGCATTTGTGATAAGTATCTGTGCTCAACACTACCATTGGACTTTGCAGGACCAACTCCAGTTGTAGGAGGGAGGCACTTTATTGTATATACTATGGATACTTATATCCTTAGCTGGACTTTCAGTCTCTATGGGCTCAATACCAGCTGTGAGAGAAAGGTACATGAGAAAAAGAAAGGTGTGTATAGAGTGCTCACTTCAACTCTTCTCTCAGATTCTACAGGACTTACACCAGCTGTGGGAGGAGGGCACATTTGTTATGTAGTAAGGACTGGTATTGAGTGTGGTCATCTTGACTCTACTGAACAGACAGAGTCTGCAGGAAGACATATAAAATACAAATATCTATTGATTGGTTTTGTATACTCAACTGAACAGAATTTATGGGATAGATTATCTGCAGGAGGAGGGAACTGTATTATGTAGCATTGGTCCACATCTAGTGCTTGCACACTTCAACTCTACTAAACAGGCAGGAAAAGGGCACATGTGGCATGAATGATGTATCTGAGTTGTATGTGGGGTGACCTGCACTAACCACTGCCCCACTTCTCACTGTAGTGGCACCCCTTGTTTTAGCCACAACAATTACATCCCAATTTGTGAAGATTCTCAGTGGTCAACCATTCCAGTGGTTAGGAATTGGTAAGTGGTAAGGGTCTCCTATACTCCACCCAAAGGTGGGAAAATACAAGTTGGGGAAATCCCAGAGAAGGGGCCCGGATCCCAGCAGGTCCTTCAGTCTGGAAAGGTCTTTTACTGAAGACAGTGCAATGGGTGACTGTGAAATTCTACTTTTAAAAGCCAGTAAGTGCAAGCCAGAGAAATGGGCAGATACATCTCTCTGGTGCTGACTTTTTCCATGATAGTCCAGGTAAGTAAACCCTGGGAGGCTAAACTATCCACCTAGTGAATCCCATGTAATGAAATATAAATAGTATGTATTCTTCTAAGAGACAGTGAGGTGATTGAAGAATGTTGATTTGTGGAAAACAAAAGCCATCTGGAGATAAAACAGCCATGTGCAGAAAAGGAGATGATTGTGTGGAGAGAGTCCTAATTCCTAAGGGCCATCAAAGAGATGTAAGAGAACAAAAAAGGTCGATGGATCTAAGGTGAAGAAAAGGGAAATAGTATGGGAGCATCCACATCCAGAGACAAACATGTCAATGGAGGAGTCAACAAACCCATCCCATAAGAAAAGAAGGAAAGAGGTTAGGGAAAAAGAGGAATCCAAGGATAGGGACAGATAAAGGTGAGGACCTCTAAATGGAGAGGTCCATGATAAAGCACACCAAATAGCCCAACATGCCATAGAAATCAAGCCTAGAGCAAATGGTACAACAGACAAGACTTAAGGAAGGGAGATAAGAAAGAAGTACAATGTACTTCCTAAGTGGTCAAAGTCCAAGGAAGAAAGGATCAGTCTGGAGAGAAGAAGAGATAAGTGTGGTAGAAGAGAGTGCAAAAAGCATCTAAAAGGAACAATGGTAATTGTAGGAGAGCAACAGAAAGAAACAACTCAAGAGAAAAGACAGTACAAAAGCCAGGAAATCAATATCTCAAATGGGGCATGCATAAGATGCAAAATCTCATTAATGTTTCAGTCAGGCAAGGGAGTTGGGAAAGGAGGATTGAGAAGAATGAAGGAGTGGAACAGAACAGAGAGAACAAGGGAAGAAGCATCTCTTGGTACCAGGAGAGGAGAGAGGCCATTGGACAGGGCCATCTGACAGTTAGAAAAGGCTGAGACCAAGAAACCATTGATGAACAGTTGGGTAAAAAAGTAAGAAAAGTGGTGCACAGACTTACTTGCCAGGAAGAAAGGGTAGAAAACAGACCAATGACAAAAGATTGGCCACAGATGGTGATAGATAAATACAGTGGAATGACAACATGAATGTACTGAAATAAATGCCATGTTAGTGTAAAGTCTAGCCTGATAGGTGATAGATTGAGTAAATTCCATGCATAAGGGTGGAGAGAGAATATCTCTCTATGAAGAAAGGAAATAAAAACAAAAGAATACATGGAAGCAAACTCTCCATTAATTGCACATTCTCCAAATCTAAATAAATTCACAGCTTTTTCTGAAAAGTTCACATTTTTCCTTTGCAAAAAAAGGGTACAAGTTTGATATGGTTATAACATCAAAAATTGAATAACATTTTATACTACTTATATGTTAATCTCTCTCCTATTACCTTTGATTATTTTTATACTTTATAATCCAATTGATCAATTCCATAGCTTACCTGGGGTAAATTTAACACCCCACCACACACTCATTGGCATGACTCCATGATGTATAACATGCAAAGTTGATACATGACTGAATTTTTTGCGTAATACAAAGAAAATCTGGCAAGTAGTAAAAAAAATTATTATTATTCACCTAGTAGCTTAGAGATAAATTATGTAACTTTGCAAATCTTCCAAAAAAAAATTTAGGTTTTTTTTTAAATAGTAAGAAAATGTCTATCCCTATAGCCACTATTCATGTGCAAAATGTTTTAGGACCAGTACTTTACAAAATAAACAAATAATGCATTTTTTTATAAATACTGTTATTAAACACAGCTATAATATTATGTAACTTTATAAATATTTTTACAATTCATTTAAAAATTATAATTACACATTATTTGTATAAATTTTGTCAAATGCTAGTAGAGACATTTCCTCAAATTTTGAAGGCTTCAATTACCTTTTAATCCATTATTTTTTATCATATACATTAAAAGGATATACATACAAATTTCAAATGAAGTCTCATGTGCTCAAATGAGGTAATACATGATAAATATTTTATTAAATAAAATGTAAAATCACTTTCTAAAATGACTTACAAACATAACAGTAAGTTTTATTTTTATAAAATAATAGGTAGCTCCAAGTATCAAATAAAGCTTACAATTTTTTTCACTTTGTTACATAGTTTTCTATTTTTCTAAATGGAGAATACAAACTGCAACTCTTAATATACAAGTAACATATCTCCAATAATTTTAGAATTATTTGAATTTATGCTACTTACAGTATCAGTGAATTCTACAAACTTTGATATATAATACCACCAGGCCAGGTGAGCCATCTAAAGAAACAGAGATGACATGTTCAGTCCAATGGATAAGTCAGTATACAGTACATGTATATGACAGTTTCTAAATGGATCACACTTTGATCAAAATGGTTCCTATAAACCTTTTTCTTGCAAACAGTGAAAATCTTAAATAGCAGTAAACCCCAAAAATAAAATTTCAGTATTAGTTCTACAAGAAAATAACTTTTAACTCAACAAAAAAACAATTTTCCATAAAAGGCAAGTCTATACTTTTGATGTCTTCGCAAGCTTTCTGGACAATGAAAAAATATTTCAATTTTTTTTCTCTAATTTCTATCTTTTTGATAAGTTTCCCATTCAAGAAGCTGAAGTTAATGAATGATATGGCTTATTTCAGCTACAGTAATCCAAGACAGAGCTGGGCAATTTGTGAAATTTGCTATTCAATTAATCATTGGGCTCATTAATCTAGTAAATACATCTATCTTCCTGTATTCAGCTTGTTTTTTTTAAAGACATTTATGAATTACCATTCTTTAGTGTGATATACATCTCCGGGTACAATTATTTAATTCTAAACTGTTGTACATGAAAATATATCACAAAGCAATGTAATATAAAACCTATAACAAGCTGAAAATATGATTAACCCAATGTGTATTGGTGAAGGTCAAAGTTTGCATGCCACAACCTTTTACATAGTGCCGTTCAGCATTGTATTATGCATTTAATGTAAGAGTTATCAGCAATTCATTTTACCCAACACTGCCGATTTAAAACAGTTCATGATAGAGGAAAGTAAATACCAGATACAATATACAGGAGTACTGAAAAAGCTATTGATATGCATTTCAGAAGTTCTGGAAATTATGAAATTCAATATGCAACCTGTATGATGGACAAAAGTATTTTTATTTTTCACTTGAACATCACCTTGCCCTCTGATTTAATAATCTGAGTCAGACTGATGTTGTCAGTTCATATATGTATCTTGAAAACATACTTTTGTTACACATTAGATATTTTTATGCACAACAGCTTTAAAAATTTTAGTAAAAGTCTCCTACATTCTGTGTAGATACACAAAGTAAATTTAGAATTACAGTCAACATTCCTTCTCCAATGGACCAGCCCATGCACATTCGATTAATACTGTTCTTCAGGTTTATCTTAAATTTTCACAAGACTACTCTATTAAAAACTACTATTTTTGTTATGAAAGATAAATATTACTTTGTGCCATTCTTTATAAATCAGAAAAATAATAAATATAATAGTAACTAATGAAATTACTATCAAGTACGGGTTAACATAAGTTATATATATGTATATTTAATTTTGGGGATTGAGTTTACAATTTGATACAAACAACTATATTTAGGCAATCAAGCACATGGACACTTTAGATGCATCTTTGCTGTATAAAGGTACAATAAACTTAACAGCATTTGTCACTAAGTTGTTAGAATTAGAGAAATATAAGATTATCAAGTGTATAAGATTAGTCATTATTTTGTACATAACAAATTTCTAGTGTGAAGTGAGCCAAAATATATTATTGTGAATCAACAGATTGCCAATTCAACATATTTATATCCTTATTACATGCTTATTAGTCACTACAACCACTGCCTAATTATACATAATAACACTTTTGTTTAAGAGCTTTCTATCTAGCTTGAGCTAGTCATAATTAAACAGGATCCTAATTAAAGTAAACAGATTAATAACTTGACAGTATTACATACTTGATTACGAGTTAGCAACTTAAAGAAAATAAAAGTTTTAAGACTGGGTAATGAAAAAACTTTATTATAACTGTGTAACGTTTTGACAAGATTTTGTCATCCATTTTTTTTTGTATCTTCAATTAGCCTTCATTGTTGGATGTACATTATTGCAAAGTATATTATGGTTTCTTGTATTCATAAGCACTTTGTAAACACTTATACCCCTCTTTCTTTAAAGTTAGTTTAATTGATATTATTGGTCATAATGCATAAAATAATTTTGAATGTATTTTATTATCATTAATCTTTACAGTTATGAGGATCATTTTACATTGTCAGTTTAATATTTCAACTCAGTACTAACCTAATTTTCCTAAGTTGGCTGAATCTCATGAAATATTACTGGATTTACAACTGAAAATACCAACAGCAAGAGAAACTAACTGATGAATCAGCACATTCTGATCATTATACATTTTAGTTTTCTTATTTACTGGCCTATGACACCATTTACTTCTAATGAGTTTGTTTTATAAAATCTGCTTCATTAATCCATAACTCACTTTTTGGTTCTGACCTTTAGTTAGCTAGCTTTGAAAACATGTTATTTAATAAATTCATATATCATTTCCAAGAATTATGAAAATATAATAAAAATGAGTTTGTGAATAGCTTTTTGTGAGGCAGTTCTTTCAATATTAAATTATTTCAAGCTGAGCAATAAGTTCCATTTTTTATTTTCAAAAACTCGTAATAGAACAAGTTACTAAAATTTTACTGATAACAAATGAAACCATGATTACCTCAGTTGCATCAGGACTATCAGAATAGTCCACAGGCTGACATTTATAATTGAATTTTCCAAACCAACCAAGGAAACCAAGCTGTAAAGAAATACAAACTGGCCTGAGTTTACCTAGTTAATTCAACTCAAAGTATTAAATTGAATGGCTCTTTTAATACTTTTATAGGATTTAATAAAGATTTACCAGTGCATGAAGAGCTTACACTAAAAAAACTTCAAAGTAGTGGTTCACATAAAAATAAACAGAAAATAAGAAATAGAAGATGGCCCAACATTTCGTTTGATATTTGAAAAAAACAACAACACTAAAACAAAGCCACTGGTCTGAACTTGACTACAATAAAGTTACCTGTAAACCTGTGACTGTATGTGCTGAAATATTTAGTCTGTTTCAAAATTATAATTAGCACAGCCTGGAATAACACAGTAACATCACTTTGAAATAAATTATAACTGCAACATTCTGAATTGGTATGTGTAATCACTCTATGAAAATTTCTTTTTGCATTGTTAATTTTTTTTCTCCATGGTGTCAACAGGGGATTCTGAAAGAATGCTTTTTTTTTTTTTTAGTAGTTAAGTATTTCTATTATTTTAGTGAAAATTTTCAAGGCTCACATTACATGTGTCATGTACGAAAGATCACACTCAGAAAACACAAATTACCATGGCTTATGAAACATTTCTACACTTGAAATAAGAAAAACAAAATGCTTTTTTTAATACTATTGTTCAGTTGCATCACAACATCAGTTATAGTCAGAGCTAATACTAGAAAATTTCCTAAACCAATACTCTTTCCTACAATGTAATCAGCAGCAGTACTTGACAGAAAAAGTAACAAAGTCTGAAAAATGATGCAACATTTGTGCTCAGCCTGAGTATGCTTTAGAAAAGTTTAATTCTAGTTTCTGAGCATATAACTTATCATTTTTTGCAAACCTTTGGACTTCCACTCATACATGATTTATACTATATTGTTACTATGCTTACGAAAAGTGCCAAGATTCATTAACTCTAAAAGATAAAGATTACTTCAAGTAGTAAATTGTTTTTATAGGTGTATGTAAAACATGTTAACATTCAGCAGATGTTCTGTATTAACCTGTACAACACTTATCCTATGGTTTAATTTGATTTAATATAAATACTTGAGTATTTTTCAAAAATATTATCATAAAATAAATTGTTCTGTTTATCTGCACTCCTCATTATTACCAACAAAAAATAACATTGCATATGTAAAAGAAATTACCATATAATCAGTAAAGTACTTGAGTTATTTATGTTTAATAACATATTAAACATGCATAGTTACCAACCCTTAAAATACAATTTTTAATTTAGATAACTGATTTCCTCATGATTACTAATAGAATAGAGATACTTAATCTCTTCACTATTTTCCAGTCTTCTTTAAACTGGCAGTTATTATTGATGTGAAAAATGTTGTCCCAAATCGTAATAACATTTGTAAACGTACAAACCACAAATTCAAAATAAACTTTTACATTCACTCAAGAAAAATAATTTACCAATGGTAACTTATAAGAATTTAGAACATTTAATATTGACCAATTTACTGATATATATACACACACACACACACACACTCGTCATGTACAACAGAATTATTAGTTTGAACATGTATAAAGAATATTACATTATGTGCATGTTATTACAGCTTACATGGATGTGGAAGGTTTACATAGACGAATTAAAAACAACTCAAAGTATCTCACTTTACAAACAACTGTTAGTTCCAGCATATCCAGGGTATCTGCACCTTGTGTGAGTCACTGATATATTGGTTTGTTCAGTGTATTTTTGAATATATCAGCATCACATTCTACTAAAAATATTTTATATAATTTCTGCCATTTACTCAGTATACAGGATTTAAAGTACCATATTTTTTCTAATTCTGAAAAACTGTATTACATGTGATTTCTTAAATAAAAACAAAATTATTGTTAAAGATGACACATCCTAATTAAAGTATCACATTCAGTTGCCCATCAGAATGACTACATGTAAGTTCAAGTAGAGAGGAAGAGCTGATGCTTCCAGATTTTCTCATTTTATCTAATGCTAAATTATCTGTTATTTTGATATATATTATTAACTGTATTAAATATTACATTAACAATGTCATGTAAAAAACAAATTATGCAAACTAAATGAAACATTATTTATACTATTTGCATAACACAAGTTTGTTATATTCCAATTTGGGTAGTTATATATATATATATATATATATATATATATAA